TTGATTTGGATCCACACTTGGTAAACTCCAAAAAAATAGGTAATAGTGTGATGCTAGTTGTTCGATCACCAACTGCATCCATTTGAATTGCAATCAAAATTACTAGTCCTCTGGACGCCATTAAAGATGTCGATGTTCTGCTCAATTCCTTATTAAAATAAAAACTATTCTCGCAAAAGTCTTTTTCAGACTTCCAGGCATTCTCGATTGACTATTATTATCCTCAAATAATTTTACTAGTTGAATAGGAGGTGAAAATGACAAGTTTTGATATACTCTGAATTGGTCTTTATTAGCAAGTGATTTATGCCAATCTTCAGAACCAGTCTTGTTAGAATCAAACATATCTCCAATTAGAAAAATACCCAATGGGATATCTAATTCCTCTATGCCTTCTTCGCTTTCCGTTAACGACTTTGAGAGGTATGCTGGACTATTAGCAGCGCTCCACGTGAGTGCTCTTGGTAATTTCTTTAATGGTATGTACTTCTGAAATATTAGAGGCTGATTGTCTTCTGGGTACGATTGAATATACTGACAGGCATGCAACCACGGCTTAATCCAACTTTGTCAATGTTTCTTTTTCAATTTATGATCTCACTCATTATGCAACAAATTTCTTACTTGCGATCTCTTTGTTCTTTCCTTTGATTGCTTTATTCTCTTTGTTGTTAAATTCTCATTCTTAATACCCATATTCTTTCATTATTTCTATTGAGTTTGCTTTCGAATCTCCTTTACTACTTCGGCAATTAATTCCTAATACTCAATAATGTTCTCAATCTTCGGCAGTGGCACCAAAATTTAATTGTCGTTTTATTTATTTTGGAAGAAACCTCCCAGAATAAACTTGTATAGGGGAATTCGAACAAAAGAAAAGACCATGTATATGAGCTCGAATTTTTAGGGTCACACAATTAACCGCTACTACTGAATGTTTACCATACCGAAGAACACTTAATTTTTCTTCCTACTGTCTATTGTCTCATATCAATACGATAACAACCACGACATCGATTTCAGTATCCTATATAATTCACAAATATATAAGCATAATCCAAACCCTGGAACAAACAACTTCCTATCCACAGAATCCGATCGAGACAATTCTTTTGATTATAATTCCTCTCCACTGAACTTAAAACCTTGCGATAAACAGTGACTGGAAACTTCCATACATCATCAATCTTTGACAACAATAGATAAATAGTGATCCATAAATAACTTCGTAAATCAAACATTGATTCACTAAATCAATTTTCTTCACTAGAATCAACACTAACACAAAAGAAACAAGAAAATTAAGAAGAAGAGATAGCACCAAGCTTATCCCCGACTCATGACTATCACAGTTTGGCATTTTCTTCCTTTCCCATCCTCTTTATATTACTCCAAGATACCAACTCATATACTATGGATGATAACTACTTTTTCTGACTATTCATCCATTTTACCTACTAAACCACCTTTTCAGCAGTTATCTATCCATGTTTACACTATACACTAGATATCTACATTTTAAAAATAACTACTTATTCTATAGCTTGGAATGCCACTTCAAGTCTTTCCACTAGTAGAAACAGGTGTGGCATAAATGACACAAGGTAATCCTTCTTTTGTAGCATGCAAGAAAGCACTTGTACCTACAAATATAGATTTAAAAATATAGATTTAATTATACTAGATTTATGACTTTCTACTTGATTAACTATACTCTTAGTTATACTTTCAGAAAAGTCAAGACTATGAGAAGTCCAATCTATTTTAGGATTATATTTTTCTAGCCATGATAAATCTAAAATGATTGGATTAGAATGAGATCTAATAATATTAAATATTATAAAGTTAATATGACTATTAGTTGCTATTTCTATAGGAAGAGTTTCATGAGTAACATACCCTAAAGACAACGGACGACCATCTCTGACTTCTACATGAACAGGTTTAGTTTTCTTTACTAAAAATATATTGTGTCTTTTAGCAAATTTTTCATCTAAAAAACATGTTAAGGATCGTGAATCTAACAAGGCAGAGGCTTTGAGATATTTAGGTCCTAGAATAACATTTATTGTAAAACATGGAGAAGATTTTGAGGAGAAGATAGGACCTTCACTAGGCGTTGTACAAGGTTCCAGCCGCACGGTCCCTATTGTAGTTGGATAAATTCGTTTTCTGACATGCTATCTTCTTTGATTGTTGTATGCCTCATTTTATAATTGCGTCGCTTCTTTGGTCAATATTTAGTAGTGTGCTTAGGTTCTCCACAATATAAGCACAATCCTTCTTGATAATGATGAGTCTTTTCTTACTCAGCAAGAGGTTTGAAACGTACTGCATCAATTTATATATCCTCTAATTCTGAATGTGTGTTGAAAAGATGTTGGTGTTGCTATTGAATTATAGTTACGTTGAGGTCCACTTGTACGGTTCTCATATTGGAATTCAATAAGGCGATTGTTGCACTTCACAGCAAAGTTAATTGCTTGACTCAATGTTTGATGATCAACTAAGTTGAGCATTAATTTTTTTACTTCATATTGTAATCCGTAGAGAAATTGGCTAATAAGTGCAGCATCATTCTACTTGATATCTGTTGCAAGTTGTCAAAATTAAGAAACATATAATATTATTGATCGATTATCTTGTCGTAAAATATGGATCTTATTGATTGCAACACAAATTGTATCATGTTCTCTATACATGGATCGAAATTCCACCAAAAAAACTCTAGATTATCCAATATTGGATCTCGTCATTCAAGTAAAGATGAAAACCATGATAATACTGAACTTGAAAGAAGCATACCAATGAATCTAACTTGTGATCTTGAAGTTGGATAGCTCTGGGATTGAAGTTCAATCAGAAGTTGTACTTGTTTGATAAATCCTCGAAATTTTGATCTGGTGCCATCAAACTTGTCGAGTAAGATAATTCTTGATTCTCTAACATTGGAAGAACATTCCACCATAGGAAAAAGAACATGATTTGGTACAAATGTTGGAGCAGCTCCAATCATTTCTATATCTTCACTTCCTACCAATCTTGTTACTCCCTGTGGCGGTAAATTGAGTCGATGCATCACAAGCATTAACTCCCTCAATTGTTCTTGCATTTGTATCATTGCATTCTTCATTTCAGCAAGTTCTGCCATGATAATACTTAGAAAAGAGAAGATGTCTAATATTGCTCAAGACAAATAGAAGAGAGGACTTGAGAACAAAGAAAATACTAAAGACAATATCAGTTTAGAAGAGGGTAATCTGCAACTTCTAATATGCTTGTGTCTTATCAAGAAAAAGAAATAATCCACTCTTAATCAAGATTAGACAAAGCTCTGATATTGTAAGTGTAGTCTTGTCAATCTATCAAGGACAAGAACATCATAAAGATAAATAAACAAGTGAGACTTCTCTCAAAAAAAAGATGAAAAAATATAAATAATTTAATATATATATTAAGAAAGAAACTGGAATGGCTATTGCCAAAAGAAAAGAAAACTAGAGACCCTTGAAACTAGACTAGAAGCAAGAAAGGAGTTGAAAAGAGTGAAGACGGCTTCACTCTTGTTTCTATATATACTATCTAACTAGGGGCTATGTGGCGACGTTCTATAGGACCTTCAATATGTGTTGACTTTGTAGGACACATGCCTTGACTTACAAGGCAAGTTTTTCTATATGTGGGCCACATAGTTAGCTTGGTCTTCAACCTAACAACATGTGTGGCACATGGCCAACTTGTTGACCACGTTTTTAATCCAAAAAGTCAATTAAAGATACTTATAAAGTCAAAGTAGCGTCTATAAAGCTTGTAGGAAGCTTCCATACCAAATATTATAGAATTAACTTACTTTTACTTACTTTTACTTACTTCTACCTATTTATACATGTAATTATTGGATTACATGTGTATGTCTGTGATACCTCCAACATTAAAACTTAAATTGGTGCTATCATCTTTGGAAGGCGTAAAAAGAGTATTACAATCTAAGAATTTAGTAACATAGTATGAATCTTGAGAATCAGCCTTGAAACTGATTTCAACTTAATCGCCACAAGTAACGTCTCTGTTTTTTCTCTCCTCACTCGACTCCTCTTAGCAAAGCATCGAGAGATACCTTGAAGTCACAAACATCAAGACAATAAGAATTAACCAACAAACTATGTCGTATGAAGAATAATTGGAGCATTTGAAAAAAAAAACTCATAATTACAGGCAGAAACACTCCCACAATGAACTCTATAACCTTCATAGAAATAAAATCCTTATGTGTTGTTTTGTTGTCACCCCTCAGGAAAGAGTTGAACAAATTAGTGTAAAATTGGGGCTTACAACATAGTAGATCCCATCGTCAAATCCAAACGGGTGACTTTGTAACAAGGGAGGGTGTTAGAACATTCATCGTACGTAGCCATCTTCATTGACTTCTATCATAGACAAAACTTAGATCCTGGAATCATGGTGGCTTACCCTGTACCCAGTGTGATTGCAAGTGCATTTATATCTATGATTGCTACAGCCGTAGTATGTAAGTCTCGCACCATTTCTATATTATTGTTGTTATTCTTTTTTATCTTGTATTCGCCTCTCAAGGTGGCCATAATTCTTGCTACGTTGAGAACACAGTAGTTGATGAAGGATGCAGTGATGGATGTTCTCAACAGTGCTGCAGTGATCAACTTAATTCTTGATACGTTGAGAACATCGCAGTTGTTCATGGAGGAAGATGCACCACCGACACGGTAGCATCAGGACAACTGACAGCTGGCTGAGGTTGTGGGTGACGTGGAAGGTGACCTGTTCCTCCGCGCGAGGCTTTGCCAGCAGTGCTGAGCTGAAACCGCGTGTCCTGAATTTTCCTTCAACGCCGCTGCATCATCTCTCTCCTCCCCCTCTTTCCCCCTCTCGTCCCTCGTCCGCGTTGCCACCCTGCTTACGTCCATCCGTCCGTCCTTCCTCCCTTCCTTGTTACACCCTTCGCGCGCAGTCACCAGGTCTGCTACATCTGCCGTTTCCTTCCTCTCATGTCCGCGTTGTTTCTGCAAACTGACTTGGCGTATTCGAATAGAACGTGTGCTTCTTTTTGCTTTTTCGCCTGGATAGGTTCACACTGCCGCACAGGCCTACCACTGTTTAAACATCAACAGCATTTCATGTAGTGTAACTTCAATGCATAGAGTTTGGTGAGATCAGTAGCGGCAGAGCGATTGAGTATTGATTGACGTGAGAGTGTGGATTCTTTTTTTTGAGTACGGAGATTTGAATTCTATGTCCGTCGATTGAGGAAGTTTACGGTAGTGGAGTTCGCTACATATTCTTTCAACCTGCCTGTCGACGGAGTTGCTTTTTGTGAGCGGCGTTGTGGGAGGTGGTGCGACCTCCGAGGATTCAGCATTTCATGTTTTAATTGCTGTAGCGAGACTTTAGGAAGAGGCTTACGAATCGCTGGAATGTTGAAGACAGGTTTCACCTAGCGATGAATCGACATGTACGTATTGATCGTGTGATTTGAGGTGAAGGTTTTGGCACGACACTCATTGGGATATAGTTCGTGAGTTATAGGGAAGCTGTTGCATGTTTTGGATTGAGAGCTCGCAAGGTTAATGAGTCGTTAAGCCTAGTTGAGCTGTAGGGAAGAGTTTGGCTAACACGGACTTTGGGTTCTAGTGGCAGCAGACACTATGACGGATTCGAGATATTGAAGAGTACGACCGAGGATATAACTAATTGGAGCTTGTACTTCACTGAGTGTTTTCTCCGTTTCCGATTCTAGCCTACCAATAATTTTAGAGAAATAAAAATCATGGTACATAGACAAGGCAATAGACCACTTCTTACCTGGCCATTAATAATCCTCTCCCTTCTATCGTTAGTTTCTGCCACAAGAGTTTCGCCATTCGACTTTCGGGTGAGGCCTGAGCTGCACTCAGACCGTTCACCTGAACCTCAAGGGCCTCAATCGTACGCTGCGTCAGAGTCGGCATGGCCATCATTCAGAGAAGCACCGGTGTTTCGGAATGGGAGGCGTTGCGCTTTTGTCAACAGAACAGGGAACGACACATGCGATCCAAACTCGGTGCACATTGCGATGACGCTTGATGTAGAATATTTGCGAGGCTCAATAGCTGCCATCTTCTCTATCTTGAAGCATACAGCGTGCCCAGAGAATGTTATTTTTCACTTCTTCGCCGCGAATCGAGATGAGGAACTGCGATTTCTCGTTTGTTCTATTTTCCCTTTCTTGAGATTCAAGGTGTATCACTTCGACGAGGCGCTGGTGAACTCTAGAATTTCGCCGTCCGTGCGACCGGCGTTGGATCATCCTTTGAATTATGCGCGGAGCTACATGTCAGATATTCTAGAGCCCTGCATACAGCGAGTTATTTATCTGGACTCGGATCTCATCGTGGTGGACGACATTGTGAAGCTCTGGGGAACCAAGTTAGGACCTCATGCCATCGGCGCTCCAGAGTACTGCCATACCAATATGACGAAATATTTCACCGACGCATTCTGGGCAAACAGAACCTTATCTCGCATTTTCGATGGGAAGAAGCCTTGCTATTTTAATACCGGAGTTATGGTGATGGACATGACGAAGTGGAGAATTGCGAATTATCGTGCGGAGATCGAGCATTGGATGGGAGTTCAAAGCAGGACTAGGATTTATGAGTTAGGTTCACTTCCCCCGTTTTTGCTTGTTTTCGGAGGATTGGTGGAGCCAATTGACCACAGATGGAATCAACACGGCCTTGGTGGGGACAATTTGGAGGGGAAGTGCAGATCGCTTCATCCCGGTCCCGTGAGTTTGTTGCATTGGAGCGGTAAGGGGAAACCATGGATTCGAATTGACCAGAAAAAGACATGCCCTGTGGATAGCCTTTGGGTGCCTTATGACCTTCTCCTTTCCCCGTTGTCTTACCAATAAGAGGACATTTGAGGAATGAAAAGAAGTGAAGGAAACGCTAACACCAATTGCAGCGAAGGTTCTTATGTTGTAGATGTACAATATTATAGAGTTGATGAGGGCATAGAGTATTGACCGATTCGTCTATCTTATACAAAAAAAAATTGATTCTAACACCAGTTTAACAATTAAACCAGTGAACACTGCTCCGCACTAACTGTAGGGCATCATTCACGTAAGTGAGATTGCTTCCTCGAGAACATGATCTGGTAGGGATAGTGAGAACATGTACAAACACTTGAGAAGATTTTGTATTTCGTGCGAAAGTTTTGTTCAGCATAGCTAGAGGTGATTCGTGCGGAGGGTCTGCAAAGTATGAGCCGTTCGATCGCTAGTAATCGTGTTTGCAGATTTCTTGTAGCTGGAAGCTTTGGATTCTAGATCACTATTGCGCTGCTGAGCTTCTTAAGTATTGTGGCACAAATGTAATAAGTTATGATGCGGCAACTGACAAAAACTTTGCCTACTCATTGTCGCTCTGTTATCTATCCAGGGTTCAATTCTCGAATGTATACATTCATATGGTGAGTGTTCCAAATTGCCCCGTAATACCTGCTCGTTGCAACTCGGGCCTTAGAATCAACCAGTGCAATTCAGAATTGTGATATTCTTGTGTTTGTTTTATCTTCTCCTGTCCTGACCAGACTTTGGCAGCAGTGGGCGGACAGGAGAAGATAAAATAGTCGGACAAATGCAATGTGGTTGACACGATGCCCAAGTTACTTCTCATGCATTGCTATTAGTATTATTTCAAACAGTAACTACTACAGACTTTGCTTTGCATGTTTCATACACCACCGATGCAAGAGTGTGCATGATAGAAAGAGGATAAACTTGACATAAAGAGATCACAATGACGAGAAAAAAAAAAAAAAAAAAAAAAAAAAAAATTGTCAGTTTGATGTTAAATACATAAAGAAATCAACAAAACAATATGTGTGTATATATCTATATACATAACAAATCTAATATTGAAGAATCATTTATTTCAAGTTAGTGAACAATTCAAAGTTACCAAAGATAGTGGAAACTTAGGTCAAGAAGGTGGCATAACTTCCCATACATTAGCATCTTTATCTTGTATTTTTGAATTGAACTAATGTATGAAGTATTTTTATTTATATTACAAGTAGAAAATATGTAATTAGATTAATATATTCAAATGATTTATGGTATTTTTAATCTAAATGAATAAGGTGTTATTTAAAAAAGACGATTGATACTTCAAAGACTTTCAAAAATATTAAATGATTTTATTTTAAAATAAATAAAAACTTCTATTTTATTTAAAGAAAAGAGAGTGTATTCAATTTTTAATTGCTAAAGAAAGAAAAAAAAGAAAAAAAGAGGACGTTTCAAAGTGTGAGAGTGATACAAAAATAAATAAAAATAAATACATACATATGTTGCATGCACATTAATAAATACATACATATCAAGCTTCCAAATAGCAGTTATGAAATTATGACTTACTCAATTTTTGTATTTACTGAACAATACTTGATTTGTCCAATGCAACAAATAACAAACCACTCACCAATAAAATCAAACAGGTACCATCAATCAGTTTTTTTCATATAAATGTATATGCATGATGTAAATTATAAAGAGAACTCAAATTGATTGTGTTACCTATTGAATTCATGGATAGTATAATTATACGAATACGATTCTATACATAGAACCTCTTGTACATGAGTGATGCACGGATTTTATGGATGATGAACAGCTATTGTGGACGAAATGACATTTGGATGAAAGATATTGGGAGCCGCAAACCCTAAAACGTTCATCTTTCTCTCTCTCTCTCTCTCTCTCTGTCTCTCCCGGGAGCTCCCTAAACCGGAAGGATTGAGACCCTAAACCCTGTCTCTCCCCACCCACTCTCTCGCGCTCGCCCTCTTTCTCGTTCCCCCACTCACTGCTTGCTACCTCCTTCGCAGCAGCAGCAGCAGCAACGCTCAAACTTACACAGACCAAGAGGGGACAGCCTGCGTGCCATTCTTCCTCGCAACGCTCCTCCCACTCCCTCCTCATTCCCCTCTCACCTCCCCGTTTTTCCCCTCCTCCTAGCACATCCTCTCTAACCCTGTATCACCCGTCATGAGGCCGCCTCTGCGTGGAGGTCGCGGCGGGGGCGGAGGTTTCCGTGGTGGAGGCGCTCGAGGAGGAGGCCGCGGAGGCTTTGGAGGCCGCGGTGGCTTTGGAGGTCGTGGTGGTTACGATGAAGGGCCTCCAGAAGAAGTCGTCGGTACAGTTGCTTTCCATTTGCAGTTTGATGTTTTCGAATTCCTGCCTTACTCTGGCTTGGCCATCACTAGGTTTGTATAGGAAGTTTGTGTGTTCCACAATGTAATCGTCTGAAGCTGTTTTCACTTAGAGATTAAGCCCTCGGTGGGAAGATTATTGCTGGTACTATTGTGTTGTACTCTCCCTATCCCCACAGACCTTGTCCTTCTTGACCGGGCAATTCAGTTTCTTACATTATTGATAATGTGACGTTGGAGAGGCTGTAAGTTATTGAGAAGCCCTGAATTGGTTAGCGTCTTGGTTTTTATAATTGCAGAGGTTGCCTCATACCTGCATGCTTGCGAAGGAGAAGCAGTCACGAAGCTGACGAACGAGAAAATTCCCTACTTCAATGCTCCCATTTACTTAGAAAATAAGTCCCAAATTGGGAAGGTGGAAGAGATATTTGGTCCTATCAATGAGGCTGTAAGTATTGGCCTACAATGGCTGACTGCATGGACGTACGTCTGTATATTAATGTGCATGCAACATTCTGTTCCGGAAAGTGAACTTTGCACTTGGAATTTGTTTGAATGCTAGCGAACTATTTTTCTTTCATTTCTCCGGGCAACCCAAGTGAAGTTGGTGTCTCATGTGTTATATACTACTTGACACTTGGCCTAGCTGTTGCAGCAGGGTTTAAGAGTCCTCAAGTCATTTTACCTTCGAAATGAAGGTTTCTTGGCGTTTGAACGACAAATCTACTGTGCAGGAATCTGAGTTGGATGTTCGTTGGCTCCCTGGTGTGCAGATGTTTTCTGTGAAGATGCAAGAGGGAATTATTGCAACTTCCTATAAGCCCGGTGACAAGTTCTATATCGACCCTGCCAAATTGCTCCCACTGACTCGGTTTTTACCTCAGCCTAAGTAAGTACTCCAATCTTCAACCGTGGTTTGATTTTTCTGTTTATATTTATATGCCGGTTCTGATATTTTGCCATGTCTCGAACGACAGCAATACTTCGTGTTTCGCCAATACCTCAATGTGTGCTCATCTATCATTTTTATGCATTGCAGGGGATCAACTCCTGGAGGGGGCAGGGGCGGTAGAGGTGGAGGTCGTGGAGGTACCGAAACATTCCTTTTTCTTTTTACATTTCTTCTTCTGTCTCTGTCCTTTTTTTTACTCTCCCAGCTGTTCCACGAACTTTTCTGTGAAAATTACGGGAAGTTAGATCTTGGTTGAATGCATGAATTAATTCTTCACTACTAGCTTGCCCAAATTGATCTGTGTCCTTTTATTAAGTTTTCCATGTCTTGCTTGTGAAATTCCAGGGCGAGGTGGAGCAAGGGGTGGCGGTCGCGGAGGATTTGGTGGACGTGGTGGAGGAGGATTTCGGGGTGCTCGAGGTGGCGGTGGTGGTAGAGGTGGTTTTGGAGGTGGGGGCGGCGGTAGAGGTGGCGGTTTTGGAGGTCGGAGTGGTGGGGGCTTCAGAGGAAGAGGTCGTTCGTAGTTTTGACCAAGTGCATATCTCAATCCGTCCTTTTAGATCTCTGGTCAACGAGTCTAAGTAGGTTCTATACGTTTGGGTTGGTGATGGATTTGCCACATCTCTTAATTATTTCATGCAAATTGAGCACAAATTTTGACCATTCTGTAGAACCCACTACCATATAATTGCATTACCACTCACGCTAGGGAATCTAAATTCTAATGAGTGTATTCTGGTATTCCGAGATTTGAGCTCTTGCCAGAAAGCCGGTAGGGTTGACACTAAAAGGGTGGACCTGTGAGTTCATATCGAGCACTTTTCGCAAGTTCACGGTGTGCATACAGATCTGGTTGGCCGCATACTCCTCAGATCGTAATTCGAACGGCCATCTCTGCGTATGTCAATTATGGCATCTTCCGCAAGGAGGGCTAATATCACTCTATTTTACGCAGATTTTGAAATGTCATTGCTGTTTTGTTACTGATTCACGCAAAGTCTAATGGCTATAATGTCGTATTTTATGTATGCCTCTACATTATATAACCCTTTGCCTCAATTCTTGGTTCTGAATCGGAAAAACGTGTTAAAAGATTAATTTGTGAGTAAATGGAACGCAAATTTCGTAACTTGCTTCTCATTTAGTTGGCCATCGTGGGAAGTGGCAACACATAGTGTAAGATGGAGAAAGTTACCCCGAACCCCTAGCAGAGGTGGTCAGATAGCCAGGTCTACTAGTACAAATTCATGTGAGGTTTTTTTCAGTCAGTGCTGCAGAACCACCGCTGACGTACAAATTCATGTGACTGATTTTTTCAGTCAGTGCTCGCTTATCTTTTCTTATTCTTGGCTTTCTTGCCTTTGCACGCTATGACTTTATGTAAATACCTTATGGTGTACAATTTCAATCGACGTCCTTTTCCACACTGAATAAGTACTTGAAGTTTGGTTCCACTGCAAATGTGTCATCGTTTATGATGTCAATTTGCAACTAACGATGCATGTATATGTACCTAAATCTGCATCATAGTAATTCCACTTATCAAGCCGGTAACCAAGATTCGATAAAAGGTATTGATTTAGCATGCGCCGATGATTGCTCCTCATTAAGTTTTCGCGTATTGCTGATATTTAGCAAATGTGCACAATCGACGAGTAATATTTTTTAATATAAATTTAAAAGCTAACACACGAATATCTAACGTGATTCTCATCTTGCGCTGCTCATTACTCTCCAATCGACGAGTAATATTTTTTAATATAAATTTAAAAGCTAACACACGAATATCTAACGTGATTGTCATCTTGCGCTGCTCATTACTCTCTTCGCCAACATTTCAGAAGTACCTCTAACCCCCTTCTCAGAACATTCTTCTTCAACGAGTCATACAACCCTGAACAAAAACACGAGAACATAAAAGAATAAGAAGTTCAGAAAGAAAGAGAGAAATAAACGAATAAGCAGGGGTTTCAACTGTGCAATCCGCATCTTCATCAATTGCGGGAATCAATGCTTAATGGATAATATCTTCTCAGTGTTTTTTCTTTTGAAAACTCTAACGCACAAGACGAGTTAGAATAATGATATACACGGAGTTTCTTGTGAGGTCGGGTTGTCATGAGACGGGAGGGGTATTTTCATGCGGGGCAATGAGAGGGGATAGAACGAAGTGCCAAACAGCATGAGTTTGTAGGGAACTGGAATGCGTTTCTCAAAACACGGCGTCAGGGAAAGTCCAAATTAAACCTAAACGGAAGGCGAGTTTCCCGCGTCTGACGTTAGACTCAGGGTTTACATGCGAGATCCAAGCACCATTACAAATTGGATGGATATCATCTACTATGAGCACCTTTTATAATTCGTACATCCACCTTTGCTTAACCACGGCCGCCGTGGACTGAAGAAGTCGGAGACTTGTGTCCACAGCCTCTTCATTGCTCGTTTGTGAGATCCCTGGCCCCCAGATTCCATTGCGCACTGGCTGATTTATTTACGCCAGTCCGCTTCCATTTCTTTCTGCACAACATACGTTTCTAATTTCGGAATAGGGGTTTGGGAGTTTCCTCACGGCGCGAATTAGATCTGGACATCAATATTTTATTATGAGGGTTTGGCTGGGTTCCAGCCTTGCTCTGGTGCGTCCTTTGGGGATGGAATAGGTGGCAACGTGCACTCAAGTATCCATTGGAGCGGGTGCGTGTGAGTAAAGAAGAAGAAAGCCAAGGAGCGGGCGACGGATTCGAAAGAGATTGTGAAAGCAGGTTACGGATCCAGCCATGAGGATGGAGAGGTTGCTGGCCGGAGACATGGCCATGGCCTCCGGAGATGTGGCAGCGAACCTAGTTAATGCTCAGTACGATGGATTCACAAACTTCCCTATTGTGGCTGCGTTCCTTTCATTTTTCGTGGCGCAATCGCTTAAAGTGTTGACTACCTGGTATTTTCACTTGCGCCACTATTTTTTCGTATCTCCACTCGTCCTGTTGCTCTCTCATTTCAGTCTTATCTTTGCGTTTGTGACACTAACGTACTTCCTTGGGACTTTCAACATTTGACCTTCCCTATTCCTGATCGTTGTTGTTTTTTTGATATACTAAGCTAGGGCTTTCTTATATTTACTCCTACCTCCCCTTTCAGTTCATATCTAGCGTCCATCGTTGGCTGATCGGTTTGGTCTCTGCTTTAATCATGCACTATTCGGTATTCTCGAAGAATGATTCGTGTTTGAACCGGACTTGGTTTGAATGTTGTATATGGAGCGAAACTTGAAGCTTTTCGCTTAGTCAATTCTTTTCGAAAATTTAAATTTAGGTTTTTTTTTTTTTTTTTTTTTTTTTTAATAATTGTAAAGTCTAGCCATTAGGGTGTGAAAGCGATTATGCTTTCTAATGAAATGCTTTTTTGTTGAATGTAAGCCGAAACGATTTTGCTGTTGCTAACTTGAGTATTAGGGAGCAGTTTGTTAAGCTTTTCTATCAGCGTGTGCATTTCAAAGGTAGTTTTTCATAAAGCTTTGCATGGAATGCCCTAAGTTGGCCGTACTTTTTTTCAAAAATGTTGTATGTATTTCACGTCTGGATTTGCGGATACTCTCTGGGAATTGTGGTAGTATCCTTACCGAGGATGAAAGATGTTTCGGAATGTGATTTGGGAGTTCATTGTGAAATAGTAGTGCTTGTTTTGCTATAGCATTTATAATATTATTGCTCAATTTTTCAAGCATCCAAAGATTTCTGGTTAGCGTTTGTCATGTCTTTGCACCAAGGGCTCTTTTTATTTACAAATCTACCTTAGGGTAGGTGAGCAGGTACAAGGAGAACAGGTGGGATGTGAAACGCTTGTATGGTTCAGGCGGTATGCCTTCTTCTCACTCTGCAACGGTGACAGGGCTCGCGTGTGCTATCGGCCTTCGTGAAGGTCTTGGTGGACCTCTCTTTGCAATCGCCTTTGTGCTGGCCTGCATTGTATGTGCTCTAAACTTTGGCTGGGTGCCACCGTATGACAAACTTATTAATCTTGAACCATTTTGTATGTGACATTCAAATGTAATTGAATCCGATTTTATTAGTACCTGGTTTTGTCCAAATATCATGTTTAATCAGCACCCACTTATTGTGTCGTTTCCTTCTTAATAAGCAATCTCGAATAGATTTTGTAATTACACTGCGAGCTCATTTTGCATGTCTGTTTTGTATACACAAATCATTCAACCTGTTGTGTGTAAGCAACGAGTTAATATGAAGGTTGTGAACTGAGGATAATTGCTCGTTCTTAATTTTTTCTTATCCTTTGCTCGCTTCAGGTTATGTATGATGCGTCAGGTGTTAGACTTCAAGCTGGTCGTCAGGCCGAGGTTTGCAGTTGCTTTTCTTTTCCTTCTCTGCACAATGATGACGGAACTAACTTCTTTTGTTTTTGTCTATATCAATGTCTTGCGTAGCTGTCTCATTTGAACAATTGATCTGACTTTCATTGATTTGATCATAAATGGTACATGCTTAGCAGATAGCGAAATCAGAATCACTAGTGTTTAGATGCGTAGATACATTCTATGTCAGGTTCATACTTACTTGGCTTTGAAGCTTGGTCTATTTGCAGGTGTTGAATCAAATAGTGTTCGAGCTTCCGCCAGAGCATCCTCTATCGGATTCTAGGCCGTTAAAAGAATTTCTTGGACATACTCCTCCGCAGGTGTGACTTGCTTTATTCATATGTTTGCATTCACACAGTTCTTCTTTTTCAAATTGGGAATTTCCGTGTGGTCTCTCTGTACCTCTTCTTTTCTTTTCTTTTTTTCTTTATATCTGCTAATTGCGTTTGCTAGAATCATTTTAAGCAACACTTGAGTTCTTGCTCTTGCTCTCGCTTGATGCGTTGATTCCACCTATTCTTGTTCTAATCTCTTATCCTTGAGCTGCAGTTATTTGATGAAGATGCTCTTTAGCAAGCAGCTTCAGGCATGCTAGTGTAACTGTGATGTGGTTTTGATTCCCAGGTAGCTGCAGGTGCCATGCTGGGGTGCTTGATAGCCTACACACTACACCTGCTTTCACTAGTAGGACCCTCAACCTAGTTCTTTCTGTAGTTAGCCGCAGAAAAATCGAACATTATCTTCGCTAATGAAAGCAAACTTGGGTTTGTATGTGGTATTAGTAACTCACCATTTTTTAGAGTTAGCTTGCTTTCCAGTGGGAAGCGTCAGCCAAGTATTGTCATATAGTCTACAATTAGCTGATGACTCGGGTTATATTCCGTTAGTGCTTTTGAGTGCTTGTGGATTAGCATGTGTCATGTTCTGAACACTGTAAGAATTAAGATAATTTAATTTACAAACAGTGTTGGGCTGTTGCTTGATGGCTTCCTGGCTTTGGTCAGGTATGGTCAAATATACGTTGTATTGTTTGAATTGTCTTGAGCTTACAGTTCGCTCAATTGAGTACGATAGTTTTTTTTACTGATTACTGATTTGCGTGAATAGTTGCTAAATTGTATCTTCAAGATTAGTATATTGTTATTTGTAGAAGTTCAGAATAGATTTGTGAAGTAAATGAACACTGTTTGGAGTGGGACAATTGATAGGTCACAATTATTTGGATGTTGCGGTGTAACGAAACGCTTTTAGAATTGATGTCAAATTCACAGCCTTCGTTGAAGTTTCACGAGCTGGGGTTTGGACGAGCTTATAATTTAAGGATAGTGGACTGATTCTGTAAACAAGTGTACCTCTGACAATTTTATTTGATGCTGACAGATTCAAGCGGGTGGTGATAAATAAAAATCTAGGTTACTAGCGCACCTAATCTAAAATAAGTTGACCTTGTTGGATCAACACATTTGCGTGATATGAAGGACAAAATGTGCTTTTCAACCTGGAGTTCTTATAATGCACACGAGATTGCAGTTAAATTGTCCGTACCTTTTGGTGAAGAAAAAGGTTTTCATTATAGGAGATTCACATGTCTACATCTCCTCATTTGTGGTACCTGAATTGTTGCCGGTGCCCATCGCCTCAATCGCTGCAAGATTCTCGACGTTGATTTATCCCTTCTCAAACTTCTTTCGACTCTGCTTAATTCTTGAATTTTTATAACGCAAAAATATTTTTTACAATTTTAAAATGAAAAGTAATAAGAGCGTTCCAAAGATATGGCAATTCAGCCTCTAAATGTACGAAAATGAATGGGGAATACTTCACATTGACATGTAATGTTATTTTGCACATTACACCAAAATTTGTGACAAATTACATATTGGATTGATAATGGAAGGAAACAATATTTGCATGAATTTGCAGGACAGTAGGAAAGGAAAAGAACATTCTCTCCACACAAAAATTTAGCTATTATTCGAGCTTTGAATAGAAAATAAGCTCGAACAATACACCAAAGACCTACTCCACTTTGGAAATACATACTACATCCATTACTGCCAACGAGGTCTCTGACAGCTTTGCAATAGCCACACAATTGAACCATTTCATGGGCAAGGAATCCTCGATTGTAATGGTGACTAGCTAAACAGCAACTGCCACACTCTTCTTCACCATACTATCCAAAACATCATTCAGCGCTTGACAAATGCTCACAATCTGCGAGAGGACAATTGCATGCTCTTGAGACACAGCAGAAAGTGCATATTAAAGCAATAAGACAATCGCCATCATCCTTGACAATACACTTACAATGATACACAATGTCAAGGAACAGCAGGTAAAGTAGAATTCTTCGTGGAGAAGGCAATTACATCGAAATTCAGAAAAGAAGAAAATTGATTGAAAGGAAAAGGCGGAAATATACCTGATGGTCCCACTGCTGCAATTCTTCAATGTCATTCTCAAAATGAATGACTCCTTCGACCTGAACAGCAAAAACTAATTTCAAAGAAGACTACAAATCTTGACTTCATCTTTGAAAAAGATGAAATTCACTGACTCAACTGCAGTCATTTAAGAGTCTCTCCACTGGTATAGCCCTCAATCCGTGTTACGTTCTAAAGGTAAGATAGCATATTTCCATATCAAAACTAGTAACTCGCAGATAAGTGACTGAAACAAAACTTACTTGATCGATCGAGCCACGCATACGATCCTCGGAGATCATCCGGGCGGCAATCTTCTCAGCCTGCCATCCAAACCCATTTTCAAGACTTAAGAGCATGTTCAAACATCATGAGAAAGAAGACTAAAAGCAGGGCTCCAAGTTGGCGTAGTACAACAAATATAAGGAGTTTCCTACGCGAATAATATACGTATGATTGATCACCTTTTGAGGGCCAATACCAAGCAGTGCTCCTAACTCTTCGAAACTGCAAAATATGTATTGCACAAGTTAGGACAGGGTCAGCAGAGTGAAAAAAGAAAGTATCACATACAATGACAGGAGTAAGCTAAATGCGAATGCATAATCTGCAATCTGAAAAGTACCTGATATTGGTGTACAGTTTACTTGCACTCAAAAGATTGTGTTCGATCATGGCCCGATCCAGCACAGTTGAATTGTCTGGCAAAAGTGCTTTCTACAAAAACAAAATAAACAATGAGCATCAAGCAACAGCATGCTAACACTGGGTCGCCTACTTGACAGATTGAATCCTGTTTAACTACAAGCTACGACACAAAACTACTATTTATTGAATTTTTTCTAAATTTAAATACAGGGGTGGTGAAGGAGATGGATTTCCATTTGAACAAAACTTAAGATAATCTTTACCTGGTGAGGTTTCAGCTCCTCAGCGAAAGCATCAACCTCAGGTTTTCGCAAGATCCTCTCCAAGTACACCTTAAGCATAGAAACATTATCGTCATTTCAACCACTTAACATGTCAATCTGAAAATTCAACACAACGAAAAGCATACTGCAAAAGACCAAGTAGGGGAAGAGTTTGATTCGTCATCAACTTTCTCCTTTTCATGAGATTCCCAACGAATTGGATGCAAACAATGCTTCCACTAATGGTGTCATTTGGTACGTTCACAACTGAAAAGTGCGACACACACAACACAATAGCAGAAAATCTGCAAGAGTACCAACATGGCGTTGATAGACCACAAACCTTTTGCAAGATGGAGTATATTTTCAGCTTTGAGCATCTTTCATCCTGAAACAGAATAGAACAAAGAACGTCAAGACAAGACAAAGGTACTACTGTCAAGACTGTCCTCTGGAGTTTGCATTTAATCAAATACCCCATCAACGTCTAGTAAGACTACACAAAATGTTTGACAATATTATCTTATGTCATAATGTGTGAGAGAAAAGACGATTGGCCATGTATACCAACGGTCATAATCTGATAGGTTATTGAACGAATAATTCAACAATCATTAAATACCGCAAACGATAGTTTAAACAGATGCACTGGTACCTTGTAAAGAGTTGCCAGCACCCTTGAACGTTGGGGTCCTGCTGCAGCCAAAATGGTGCACGTGACCGCCGCACTAAGTGCTTGCTGCAATTCATCTTCATCTACTCGCCTACCACTAATTTCCCGTTTTTCTAATTGTGATAATTCGTAATAACGAAGTGCTGCCTCCAAGAACTTGCGCTTTGAGTCCAGAATACGAGCATAGCATACCTGCCACCGAGAATAACCACATCACATTTTTCTCTCCACGTTTTAAGTTCCATACTCTTGACACAGGGATTGATGTAACCTTCTTCTTGCAAAGGATATGACAAATTGACAAAGACAATCGAACCTTGTACTGAAGATTCAAAGCTTCGTCCTTGCAATTGTTAACCAAGAATGAGGCTTTCTTGATAAAAATTTCGGCATTTATTGCATCATCATCCTGCACGATAACAATTGAACTCTTCAGTAAAAGAGGTGCATACGTCAGCAATGAGGAGGACAGTAAATGACTGCTTAACTCTGTATAATGTGGCCAAATCCAGGAAAGAAAGAGGCAATTTACCTCAAGATACAACAACGCAATTTTCACACACTTCTCCAACTTATAAGCATCGTCTAGCATCCTGCACAAAGGTTCGATTAAGCAGAAAATTATGTACAAGACCGCATCGAAATTCGATCAATAATTTAAATAAGACCCATACAGCCTACAGCCCGGCAGTTTAATGAAGTCATTAAAACAAAGTGCTGGCGTGTCATGTGTAGCGACCCAAGATTATCATCAAAATAAAAATAAAGTACATGGCACATAACCTAATCCAAGTAGTTCAGAATAAACTACCCACCAGATAGCATAACCAAGTAATCACAAGAAGAAAAGGAAAGAATGAAAAGAAAAAGAAAAAACACCAAGTAAGTTTTATTCACATCTTTCTAGATTCCCAACACTTGTGAATGATACGGAACAATCAAAATCATACCTTTGTCCAGATTCAAGATCGATACCACTAAGCATTTGAGCAGCCTTGGACCATTGCTCTTCATTTTCATACATCTCAGCAAGCCCCTCTCGTATGATGGACACCTGTAGCAAACGTATGTTGAGCCTTGCAACCCACAGAGGGAGTACAATCCACTTTTGTGAATACAAACCAAGAAAATGAATGCGAGCACAGTGTCATAACCAGCTGAGACTACAGTTGAAATGCAACTGCACCTGTTCTTCAAAAGACACCATCCGGGGCTGAATCTGAGCCAGTGCATACAGTGCAATTTCTTTATGGGCTTCAGGCTCCAACTTATTAAGCTCCTGTGCAAAGATTTGTAGCAGAAGACGAGACGCCACTAACGGAACCTCGTCAGTAACCACTGGAATAAGAAAACAAGCCATGTCAGCTTCAACACACGAAAGGATTTCCAAACCTCCTAATAATACCTGAGTGGTTCAACAACACGGTGAGCCAAACGTGCAAAATGGCGAAAATTGATTGACACTGCGTCTAAGAACCCGGCCACAATCGAGAAAACGGACTGAACTCTAGATAATGCAGGTTTTAAAATGAAGAATAAAGATTACTTAAGATTGATACTGAACCTGAATAGCGAAAACCTACATATGATGCGACCGTATGAATATTCTTCATATTACTGTCATCAGCAAGCTGAAAACTGAGTTCAAGAAGAGAGGATCTGCAAAGGTAAAACTTACTATGATCAATGAATGCCCTAGCATGTGCAACATTGTTGTTACACATGATGGACGACAAAAGAATCTTGTATTGGTCAATCTTCTGCTTCTGGTCGGCGATACCAGCAGCATTCTGCAGGGCGCCTTGTATGTCGCTCGCCATATTCCTTGGCTGATGCACAAACCTCATGCGTCAGAACTACTCAAGGTCTTGCGACAATCTAGTTCAATCAAAACAAGATTATCTTATTATGTCTACAGAAAACCCTCCTGGACAAGAATTCAGAGCAAGGACTTAAATTTCACCGTAAGGGTCACACTGTAAGAAGATGCAATAAGATTATTCTTTCCATAATGGTATAAGCTGCAAGGTGTCGGTTGCCCCTTCTCCAGAGTCCCTTTGCAAACCCAAAACCATGACAGTAGATGAAAGAAAAATTATTCACGTGTTCCTTCCTCTTGTTACCGTCAATCTTAACTTTCTTTAATATCAACCTGTATCTCAATTCTTTTCAAATCCCCACATCCAAACTATGTAAACTCAATCACTGGTCTGCCTCGAATTAAACAAAAACTGTCAAAACTTCACCAAGCCTGCAATAAAATATCATCGTAAAGAATTTCTAACAAACAGAGTTCGGCCGTGAACAAAAAATTCACATGCGGAATTAAAACTATTACCTCCGCCTACTGGATTGCGTAATCATGTATCCTTTTGAATTTATTCGGCCACTTGACAAATCGATCACGTGAAACAGAAATACAGAACTACAACAAGAAACCCTAAAATTCACTGCAAAGTTCTGCAAAGAGATCAAGTCTGCAAGCATGACCTAGGGCAAAAGCAACGAGCATCAGCAACAATCCAAGAATCGTACCAAAATGGAGCCCTAGCAATGATTAGGCAGAGGAGATACTCTCCTTCCCAGCGGAAAACAAAAGAGAGCAATTCTGCAGCTGGAGTGAACCCTAGGGGAGTAGAAGTAAGTTCAATCAACTGAAACTCGCAAACGCACAATGGAATTTCGGAGGAGGAAGAAGAGGACAAGGGCGAGGAGGAAGCGAGGAACGACGACGACGAGCAGCAGAAACGGGAGGGAGACGGTGCGGGAGGAGCAAGGGTCTCTCCCACGGTCAAAATGGATGAACGAACAACATGGCAGACAGACATGCACGAAATCTATGTACCAATAAATGTTTCCATCACTAGCCAATTACAATCATAACGGTTGCTAATTCATTTAGTTATTCACATGTTGAATCCACAATATTATGTCATTATCTTTAAAAATCTTGACACAATCACTTTGGCACCTGATCAAAATACTGCTTTACATTGTATGTACTTGTCAATCTTCAATATCAAGAAATGATTATTGTAATGTATGTTTGTCTAATGTCTGAATACTACTACTTTAAATTTATCTGTAGTCCAGATTTGTGTATTATCTGACCCCATTAGTTTAAGTCTAATACCTAGTTAATCAAGTCAATTAACATTGATTATATTTCAAAGGTTACCACATGTTCAGTTCTTTTCAAAGTTACATCTTTCTTGTTATCTTGATAAAATCACATAAAATATGTAAAGAGATTTCTATCTATGAGTTGTCTTTTTTAGTTTGCATCTTTGATGAAGGATTCATGACTTATTTCTAGAAGGATTTATGGCCACATTTGTATACAGCAATAAAAACAAATGGTAGTATAAACAAAACTCTAGTCTTTATAACAAGTTTTGCATTCAACTATTATCTATATTATCAAGTTCAAACAACTTATTTGCAACATGGATTAAAACAATAAGATTCTTATTAATTAATTTTAATATAATTTAAAAGATAATATCAAATATCTATTGTTGAGAATATTGAAAGTATATTTATTCAAAGAATTCATGAAATGGAATTAAATTCTCTCTAAGATCTAAAATCCTTCCAATCTACAAGAACATAAATTCCATCTCAATATAAGATAAAGTAGACTACAACAAAACTAAACTAAACTAAACAAAATGGAATAATGAAAGGAAAAATAGAGCAAAAGAAAATAGAAGAAAAAAATATAAATCAAACTTAATTGAGAGAAAAGGACCAAAGTCATACCTAACCAAATACCTAAATAGCCTCAACTAGTTGTATTTATACTTTGTACAACCATCTTGGAACTTTTTAAAATGTCTATAATGTGGATCTTGCCAAGATAACTACCTTTTTTAGAAGGTTCTAGAAGTTAGCTCCACGTAGATAACCACCATAAGTCTTTTTAGAATATTCCATGGTAGATCATACATAGACCACTAACCTAGCCCTAATTCTAAAAACTTTCCAAAAACGGCCCCAACTACCTATTTCTATGTGTCCATAATACAAATGCCCCATTACAAATAATCTCCTTCTACTAATACAAAACATCATTATTTTTCTCTTGATGGTGTTTCCAAACTATGTCTTAACAATAGGTGAGGTTCTAAGCAGATTCTCATGTTGCATCATTGATGGGATAACCTTTCTAGAGGACTTTGTACTGAAGTTGTAATTATCTATTGCTACAACAAAAGTGGCAGTGCTCCAAAATGTTATCTACTTCATACCCCTATTGGTCATCAATCTTAATTGGTGGTAGTGGTAGTTGGTACTGATTAGAAAAGTACCTTGGTTTAGTATAAAATTCCTTGAGCTGCAAAATATGAAAGATCAGATGGATCCAAAGATGTGGCAAAAGCTTGAGGTGGCATACAACAAGTTTAGTTATCGGATATTAATTGATGTTAAGAAAGAATGGTGAATGATTCCTACTTGTGTCACGGACACAAAATACAGAATTGAAATCTAACAAGAAGTTCAAGAAGAAGTGGCAGAACTAGATTAAACAGATGAGTACAAGAACAACACCAGAAAGGTGAGCTAGAACTCCAAGAGATGTGTTGTCGAGACTGAAGAACTCTTCAGCCTCGATCCCTATATATACTCCTACTTAGGAAGCTTCTCGAGCTACTTCTATTAACTAGGAAGCTTCTAGAAAGTTCCAAGGGATTCCTTTCTAGAAGCTTCTAGAAACTTCTCTTCTAGAAGGTTCCAAAGACTTCCTTTCTAGAAGCTTCTAGAAACTTCTCTCTAAAAGGTTCCAGAGGCTTCTCTTCTAGAAGGTTCCAGAGGCTTGTTTTCTAGAAGGTTCTAGAAACTTCTCTCTAGAAAGTTCTAAGGAATATGTCCCTAACATCACCCCCTCCTTTAGCTTCGAGGTCTCTGAGAAGCAATATTATTGATCAGTACCAACGCAAGAAAATGAAGATCTGTCGCATAACTTCTGCTATGAACTCCAACTGTTGTTCACGAGGCAAGTGGTTCATCGACCCTTGAAGCCAACGATAGTGGCCCACGCCTTCGACTTCTGACCAAGCATGAACTTCCGTGTCCTCATTGTGAAATTGTCCTGCAAACACGCCTTCTAGTTGACCATCGTAAGCAGGCTCGATCTCAAATACGATCACCAGTGATCGGTTACTCGGTATCCTCCGTCGTCATCGTGGTATATGTAGTTCTTCATCTCGGGGTCGCCTTCGTGAGCTACTCGGTTGCGATACTCTGACTGGCATAGTATCTATCTCTTGGCTATCCATATCAAAAGACCAAACTACGATCTATCTTGGAGAAAATAACTACATCAACTATGAATTTTGCTGGTGCTCTCCCCTTTTCTTATATTATTGGGAGAACAAGCTTCAGAAAGAAGCTATCATCGAATTGATTTAGGTTTATCGGGATGTCGTTGATGAAACTCCTGTACTTTTTGTGGCGCATTCGCAAGATTTTCAGCTGGCTTCCACGTTCGCTCATTAATGTCATAGCCGCACCAATGAACAAGATATTCTAACTTTCCGCACCTTCGCCATGAATCCAATACCTTTTCAACCTCGTATTCTTCGTGGTTCTCGATTTCAATACTAGGTGGCGGACATTGCACTCTTCCAAGAAAAGATGACTCTTGATAAGGTTCCAACAGAGAAACATGAAAGACTGGATGTACCTTCATAGAAGCCGGTAACTCCAGCCGGTATGCCACTGGATTAATTTGCTTCTGGATGATAAATGGTCCCAATCTTCGATAGTCCAACTTATCACATGGTCGCTTGGTCTTGATATTTCATCGAAGAAGCCAGACTTTGTCTCCAACTTTGAAAGTAAGTGCTGGATTCTGAAATCTATCTGCAGACGTCTTATAGGATTCTTGAGCGGATTGTAATTGAAGCTTCAACATAGTTTGAAGCTCTGATAGTTGCTTCGCAAATCCTTCAGCTGCTGGATTGTTATTTGTTGATGGACTCAATAAATCAAGCTTCGGATGATACCCATAGTTAGAAAAGAATGGTGTTTATTGAGTCGACGCATGGAGGGTGTTGTTATATGCAAACTTGGCTAGCGGTAGATATACAGTCCAATCGTCTTGCTGATAGTTGATGCTGCATCGTAAGTACTGCTCCAAGACTTGGTTCACCCGTTCCGTTTGGCCATCAGTTTGAGGATGAAAAGCTGAAGAAAGCTTGATATCCACCTTCAATATCCCAAAGAGAGATCTCCAAAACTTTGACACGAACTGGATACCTCGATCTAATATGATATCATCTGGTAGTCTATGATATCGATACACATTATCGAGAAAGAGTCTTGCTGTGACTTCACTGGACGATGTCTTCTTACAAGGAACAAAGTGTGCCATCTTCGTAAGCCGATCTACCACGACAAAGATGCTGTCAAATGAGTTTGATGATGGCAAGTCCGTGATGAAGTCCATAGAAATTGAAGACCATGGTCGACGTAGAATTGGCAATGGCTGTAGAAGTCCATAAGGGCGATGCCGAGGATTCTTAGATCTTGAACAGATGTCACAAGAGAGGACAAAATCTTTCACATCCTTCCACATTTGGGGCCACCAAAAATCTCGGGAAATAAGCTCCAAGGTCTTGTTGAATCCAAAATGTCCCGCAGTTGGAAAATCATGGCGAGATTGAAGAACTCGGAGTCGTGCTAGTCCTTTTGGAATGTACAATCGCTCTTCAAAGTATAAAAGATCTCCCTCCACCTTGAACTTGTCGTCATTGGTACGTTGCTTGATATCAATGGCTACTGAATCTTTAATGGTCATAGCACGTACCTGGTTTAGGAAGTCAGCATCAAATGATACAATAGTAGCACAAAGTTGAAATCTCTCTGGCTTCAATAACGTTGTACATTGTTGATCAAACGCTGCTTCTCCAGCCTTTGGTGCAAGATACGATCTCCTTGATAAAGCATCGGATAGTCCTTGCTGCCTTCCAGGTCGATAAGTGATAACAAAATCGAATCTAGATAGCGACATATTCCACCGAGCTTGACGCTGATTTAAAACTCGAGCCGTCATGAAATACTCCAAATTCTTGTGATCCATATATACGGTTACTGGATGTGCAACTCCTTCAAGAAAGTGACGCCATTCTTCGAAAGAATCCACTATAGCAAGAAGTTCCTTATCGTGGATCTCATAATTGATTTCAGCAGCAGAGAACTTCCGAGAATAGAATGCAACTGGATGGAGCTTCTTATCTTCACTCATTTGTGAAAGTACAGCTCCCAAAGCAAAATTTGAAGCATCAGTTTCTAAATAGAAGGCCTTTGTAAAGTCTGGATGTACCAAAATTGGAGCTGTAGTAAATGCTGTCTTCAAATCTTGAAACGCCTTCTCTGCCAAAGGTCCCCATTCCAACTTATCCTTGCATGTTAATCGAGTGAGAGGAGCAACAACTTGAGAATAATTCTTGATGAAGATCCGATAGAAGTTAGCAAAACCAAGAAAGCATTGTATGTCTCTAACCGTCTTCGGAACCTCCCAAGACATGATTGCTTCTACTTTCTTGGGGTCCATCTTCAAACCTTCTGTAGTCGCAATGAACCCCAAAAATTCCATCTCCGTCTGGTGAAATAAACACTTTTCTAATTTGGCATATAGTCCTTGCTTGCGTAGTTTCTCCAAGACCAAACGAACATGCTCCTCATGCTCTTTCTCGTTTTTAGAAAATATTAGAATATCGTCCAAGTAGATGACAACAAAATCGTCGAGGTGTTCTCGAAAG